CGCTAGCCGACCCAGGAAGCCCAAGACCACGTTCGAAGTGTTTAGGGTTTTGGGGTTTAGGGTTTAGGGCTTTTGGGGTTTTGGGGTTTAGGGGTTTAGGAGTTTAGGGTTTAGGGGGTTTAGGGGTTTATAGGGTTTAGGGTTTAGGGGTTTAGGGTTTTATAGGGTTTATAGGGTTTAGTGGTTTAGGGTTTAGGGTTTAGGGGTTCAGTGGTTTATAGGGTTTAGGGTTTAGGTTTTAGGGTTTCTAGGGCTTTAGTGGTTTAGGGTTTAGGGTTGAAATTCAAAAGCTAAACAGCAATACTGACGAAGGTACTTGTTATCATACCCTGGTTCCTTCTACGCATGTTGATCTGTTCACTATTCTTGCCTTGCCATCGATTTTTGCTTGGCTTTGCCTGCCTTGCCCATGATCAAGGTCCCTTCCCCACGGACGTAAGTGGCCAGGGCTCGAAATTTGAGGTTTGTTTTGTCTTATTATCTGTCCCGTCTCAACCCTACAACCCTAAACCCTCAAATAGAACCCTTCCGAAACCCTTCCAAAACTTTTCTAAACCTCTTATAGCACCCCAGAAAACCCAATAAAACCACCATAAAACCCAATGAAACTCCCTAAAACCCAATGAAACCCCCATAAAACCCAATGACACCCCATAAAAACCAATGACACCCCCATAAAAACCCCAATAGAACCCCAAATAAACCACCTCCTTTGAACCCTAAACCCTAAACCCTAAACCCTAAACCCTAAACCCTAAACCACCCCGTTGGAGGCTCTCCGAGCTGGTCAACAAGCGGCTGCTTCAAGGCCGCAGGGGAGCCCAGGCAACGCCCTGCTAAGAGAGAGAGCCCAATACCCCTTAAACCCTAAACCCTAAACCCTAAACCCTAAACCCTAAACCCTAAACCCTAAACCCTAAACCCTAAAAAACTATAGGGGGCCTTATTCTTATGATTTACGGTATATATTCCTTATTTAAGGGGTAAGTTGGGCCCAGGCAACGCCCTCCTTTTTAGTAGGGGCCTCAATATTTGCGTTTAGGGTTCAGGGTTTAGGGTTTAGGTTTTGAAAAGGGTTTAGGGTATAGGGTTTAGGCTTTCAATCAGGTTAGGGCTTAGGGTATAGCTATTTTGAACCCTAAACCCTAAACATTAAACCCTAAACCCTCACGGTGTGTGGCACCCTACGTGCAAGCCCGAATGGGCAGGCTTCTGCGGAGAAAAGGGGCTAGTGCATGTTAAAAAAAAACCCTAAACCCTAAACCCTAAATGGGGAGCTTTTGGGGGGTCTTTGGGAGCTTCGGGGCCTTTGAGGCTTTGGGGATTTTGAGGTTTTGGGGCCCCGGTGTTTTTGTGTGCGGAGATTCGGGGGCGTAGGTCTTTTGCCAGAGGTCTTCGAGACAGTCAAGGGCTTTAGGGTTTACGGTCTAGGGTTTAGTGTTTAGCGTTTAGCGGTCGGGAAAATAATGACTGTTCATGTCTTGCTCTACCGGGTTTTCGGTCTGCGCAGGAGCAGCAGCGGCAAGAAGAACAGCTGGGACTGTTCATAATGCTCTTCATAGTAAGCATATCCGGGTGATGAATGATCTTGGCGACGATGAGATTTGATGTTTGATGGATGACTGTTGTGATGGCGACGATGTACTCACACTAAACCCCAAAATAACCTACTTTTTTATGACTTATATAAAGCAATGATAATAAGGAACCCTAAAAAGGCGGGTAGCCCCTGGCCTAACTAAGGAGTGTTGTTCCGGAGCCCAAACCCGAAGCGCTGACGCCGAGTCCCCAGTCCCGTACCTTGATTCCCAATTGAAGTTCCGAATCGCAACCGCTGGATCACCCTGCGCCGATTTGACGCGTGATCAGCTCGCCTGAGGCCTTTTGGGGGCCGTCCTCAGGCCCGTTCATTAGGGTAGGGTTTCCGTGTTTGTGGGTGTGCATGGCATTGCATATGTTTGCCATTCAGGAAGAGGCTGGTGATGCCCTTATTTTGTTCCCTCATGAGACATGACTGGTTTTGTTGACACCGACATGCCACACGTTTGAACTGTCTTAGCTCAATCGGGGCAACGAACGAAGATTCCTGGACGCACCGGCGCCGGTGGAGAAAGAGGACGGCACTCTCCAGCCTCAGGCCAGACTTCCCGAGGTTTGGGGGAAGCTTTAGCCATTTTGTGTCCAGGGTACGATGGAGGTGGGGAGCGGGATGGAATAATGGAGCAAAGAGACCGATCATGTTCATCGTAGCTTGACTGGTGATGCCTTTGTTGAGTTGCTTCAGCTGGCAAGCTTCTTTGGCAGGTTCATGCAGAAGACCTGAGTAGTTAAGCTCTCTGGTCCTGTGCGCACAGACAGTCGCATCTAGAATCTAGCCGCACACGGGCTGGTACCATGGAGCAATCGAAAAGAGAGTATCAGCACAACTCGGTGTTGCCCTGCAACCTATCACTAAACATAATGCGGGAACATCTATATTTTCCCTTGATATGTATAGAAAAGTATTTTTCTCAAAACGCACTGCAGGCCTACACAGCAGAACTGGTCGAATCGTAAAGGGCCCCCCCCCCTTGACACGACACGGCCGAGAACATGGCCAGGGCTTCTTTGGGCCTTGGTAACACCATCGGGACTTAAATCAGGCACTTATGTATATGTAAGTGTGTACATATATATATATATATATATATATGTATGTGTGTATATACATGTATAAGTTTGACTGTTCTTCTTCTTATCTATAGTACCAAGTAGTATTGTTATTGTTATGATTAGTATTATTCTTATTGTTATTAACATCAGTATTGTCAGATTTTATTTATCATGTTGTTCTCGTTATATTAATTGCTACTATTATTCGCATTATTAGCAGGATTATTCAGCTTCCTCCTATTATTTGTATCCTTGTTGTTAACTTTGATGATGCTATTATTTCTCTTATTATCATTATCGCTATTACTACTGATGTGATCATTGTTTTCATTATTGCTACAAGTACAAGATAATTATACTCCTACTTACAATGCAGGCTAAAAGTATTATTAGTTTCATGTACAAGTCGAAGCATATTTGCAGTTATAGTTGCGCTGATATTCAAGACTAACTTTTCTGAGCTTGTTGAGGCCAACTTCAGCGGTGATCGTTCGCTCACGGGCGGCTCACGAGAATTTACCATCCGCGAGTGGTAGCTCGGATTATGGAATGTGCAGAGTGTTGGGGCTTTAGATCCAGCAAAGGCGCCGCCTTCAGCTGGCCGTGAGTGCGTAGTGCGGTTGCAGAAGCAGTATATAACCCTAAACCCTACCCGGTGACCACGAGTTCAGGATGGGTGGTCCAACGGGCACCGATCTTGTGGGCATAAGCTTGAAATAACGCCACCGAGACGATAAACCCAATGCCCCGAAACCCAGTTTTTTAAAGCTTCTGCCTTTAATCCGTGCATCGGTACCTAGCCCCCTGACGGAGTTCAGAGTCGTCCCGAAGCAAAGGCGAAGCGACTGGCAGAAGGAGCTGAAGGCAGGCCCCACGGCTCGGGAACAAAACTGTCACTCAAGGGTTTTATCTCTTTAGTCACATTTCTTGATAACGAACACGAAGACAGTGAACACTCTGACGATTCGCAGCGACTTACGACCATATGTTCGGGCCGCATGGCTTGCGCCACAGTTCCTCGTGAGACTTGGAATTGGCTGATCTTGATGTTAGTGTTCCCTAAACCCTAAGCCCTAAAACCTAAACCCTAAAGCCGCAAAACCTAAACCCTAAACCCTAAAACCTAAACTTCATGACTGCAGGCTTAGGCTTAAGATGTTGAGTCTACAGCCTACAGCCACGGTTCAGGATTTGTAGGGTGAGGTGCCAAAGTGTGTGGCCCCTAAACCCCAAACCCTAAACAGCTTGCGGTTTAGCAAATCGATGTTTTTCGAGGCCCTTTAAATGAAAGAAGCTGTTCAGAAGCCTCGGGTGAGAAGTCTCTTGGTGGCTTTCGTGGTGGCTCAGAGTCTTGGGTTGATACTATAGGGGCCTTAATAATTACCCATACTATGTTGGGGG